GGAATGCCCTTAAAAAGCTTAACATTTTGATGTTTGAATGGTTTTCTAGCTGAAAGTATGTTGTAGTTAAGTGCCGAACAAACGGACAGAATAAATCAGAATAATAAAGAACTGGATAACAATAGTGTGGATGCCGAATCAGCATCCACAATATTAAATGGCTATATTTCTCGGTAATTTGGCGACCACTATTGTGTTCAAGTAGGAGTTGCAGCCATAATTTGTGAAAAACCGGAACCCGGATGTCATCTTCTTCGCTTTTGTTTCGGCATTCAGCTCAGTAGCCCACCCATCGATTGGTGTTTGTTTCCCCCACAAAAACAAATCCACAATGTCGGGTTCGTCAAATCTTGCAGCTATGAAAAAAATCGTACAGCAGCTCCGTTTTGAAGCGAGCATAAACAGATTAAAGGTAATTTGGATTCATTATTTTTTCTCTTCTTCTACGAAATAACGGAGAGAAGTCTGGATTGTTGATCCGAGCCGTTAGCAAGTTAGCTGAAACCGGAGGCCAGCAGCGCAGGAACCGACAGCCGCTGGCACAACAAGGCGTTGTTTTGCGCAGGAGGGGAAGAATTTAACAAGTGTATATCGTCGAAGTCATCAACTCAGTGTTTTAGTAAACCAAGATAATGTCCAGACCTCACGTTAGCTAGCATCTATCTGATAAATAGTTAAGGTTAGCTGAACTGCTAGTTGTAACCCAGTTTAACGTTGCCTGAAAGTCAGCTACCGTGCTTATTTGACATTCAAATGATCAAGAACTACTTTTCAGGAGGTAAATGTCATTTTCCTCTCACGACTTAGCAAAAATTATCTCGCGATATAATGCATGTATTGCTAACATTGGACTTTTTAAGTCAGTTTCAGCCATGGATTATGGAACAGGCCCAGGGTTTTACGGTCCTATTTTAAACTGACTGGAGAAAACCACAAAGATACACCAAACAGAGTGACTGCAAAGAGACAAAATGTTCTCCAAGACTCAAAACAACGTTCTTTATGATCATGTTATAGGGTTTGAAATACACCTTCTGTAGCCACAGAAGACAGTATATAGGACAGTTCTCACTGGCTGAGTAGTACTTGCTGTGACTAGTAAACCGAAATCCACATGTAAAATCAGTGCCCATTAACCTGTCAGTTTAAGAGAGAGCCAAATGGTTCCATGTCACAGTCTTTACTTTGGTTGCTTTTTTATCACTAGGTCTCCCAGGCAGCTGCAGACCTTCAACAATTTTGCATACAGAATGCTGTGCAGGACCCTCTGCTTACTGGTGTGTCCTCCAGTACAAACCCCTTCAGGCCACAGAAGGTCTGCTCCTTCTTGTGAAACCACTGTATTCACGGTGAGTCTGCCATCCTATTGAGACATTCATACACAGACTTTTATACATATTGTATATACAGCACAAGCAATTGGTGTTTTTTCATCCATCAGTCTTTATTGCTTGTCCTGGGTTGTGGGGTGGATGGGTGACTGGAACAAGTCCCAATCCCAGTAGACCTTGGACAGGTCACCAGTCTGCTGTAGGACTGACACATAGAGAGAAACAACTCCTCACACCTCTTGGCAATTTAGAGTCACCAGTCAACCTAACCTGCATGTCTTTCGGCTGTGAGAGAAAGCTGGAGTACCTGGAGAGACCTCACATAGGCATGGACTGTCAGATTAAAATCTAGAACTCTTTTTGCTGTGAGATGAGAGTGCTAACCACTGCACCAGTGTGCCACTTTCTATGTTTATTAAGCTCCTGGTACCGGCTTAACTCGACTTGATTCACCTTATTACATTCACCTTACACATACTGAGAATCAAGCGCGGCATATTTTCTATGTCCTCTATTGTTACTGTGGTTGGTTGCTGATGATGTCATGGCAGTGTAATGGGGTGTCGCTATGACAACCAGCTACACTGAGAGGGGACCATCTGCAGCAGAAAACCAAGCACCTGATACCAAAAGCGGGTAGGATTGAGTCGAGTTGAGCACCTTTAGTTGCTGTATTTTGCCCACAATATGAATGTTTGGTGGTAGTTCATAATGTTGTAGTTACTTGAAGATATATGCCACTGTTTAACAGATTACAATAGAATAAAATACGACTGTAAACCATATTGTCTTTATCTCTACTATTTGAGCACAATTTTAAATTAATCGAGCACAATTTTAAATTAATCAAGCACATTTGAACAGTTTCTTTCAAAATAAAAAAAGTTCTTTATTGTACTGTTGAGAAGTCACGATGTATCCCCTGTAGAAATATTGTTTGAGTGTAAAAAGCACAATCTGTTGTCACTTTTGTTTACCCACCTCATCCTAAACATTGACATTTAATATTAACATGCTTTTACAAGAAACCAAATCAATTTGAGTTTATTAAAATGTAATTCCATGCCTGATCTTTCTGTTTTGTCTGGTTTTACCTTAGGTCTTCAGTTTGATTCTACAGGGAAAAGTTGACCTCTACACTGCTCCTCATGCCAAACCATTGTACTGCCACAGGATCTCTTGAGTATACAACACATTGTCAGGAAGATAACCTTCTATTTTCGGTCACAGTAGAAAAAACGAAGCACACAGTGTGATTTTTGAGTAAATTATTGTGCCTTTTCTATCATTCTATTTTAGCCATCACTGTTCTGGACTTTTTTTGTATTTAATGAATTAAAAAACATTCTTTACTACTCTGCGGTTTTGTCGCTTGCCATTTTTTGTTTTCTGCCGCTCAGTTAATGTGACAGACACAACTGCTGGTGACAATCGGATAACAGAGTGCTGTCAGTGGTGTTGTAAATTGTTCTAGATAGTAGTAAAACCAGTTGATGTTTAGGTAATTAAATAGAAAATCAGCTCAAAATATGCTGTATTTCCTGTGTCTTATGTTTCAGTGCAATTGATCCGTGGTTGACTTTGGGTTGCTGGTTTTAAAAATTACTAATAGATTTACTAAGAAGGGAAAATAATGAGACATATTTGGCGTAGTTTCCCATATGAGTTGGTCTATACTGCTAAACAGTATACAAGAAGTCAGGAATACATTAATGATACATTGGATTGTGAAGGATTATGATCAGTGATGGAAGAACTACTCTGGTCCTTAAGTAAAACAAGGAAGACCACATTCCAGTAAATGTTTAGTGTTACAAGTTTTATTTAAAAGCACAAATATTATCAGCATTAAGAAAGTACAACATTAATAGGCTAAAACACAAATAAAATAAAATACACTTCAGAAAGGTCATTTGGCAAGTAAAAAGTAATACATTATTTAAAAAGTTAACTACAAAGCTATTAAACTGAAAATGACTTAAAATATGTAGATTTTTTTAAAATTATGAAATTGTTCATTTCCATCACAATGTATATTTTATTAAACACTTGGGGGCTCTCTAGAGTAAAAAATGATCATAAAATGGAAACACTGATGCAGAATACAAGTAGTCTCTACCTCAAAACTGAATATTAGTTATGTAAATGTGCAGTAGGTTACTTGATTATTTTGCAGCATTGTGATTACAATAAAATGTCATACTACTAATAAAATAATTTTCACAAAATATCACAGTGCTAGTGAGCTCCCTGTCATCGTTTCTTACGTTTTTTAATAGAAATACAATTCATTACAAATGGGTTGCATCGGTTTTATAATAGGATGCACAAAATAAGGAAGAGTAAACGTAATGCACAAACATAAGCATAGAGCAATAAAAACAGGCAGGACAAAGCGAGCATTATACCTTAGGTAAAATTGTACTGAAAAGAAGAACTGAAAAACGTGAAGAGGTCAGTGTGACAGTGTTTTGGAAGTAATTGCTCAGATCAGATTGGTTAAAAGTTGTAAGAGATTGTCATTTTTCCCCCCCCATCGTTTCTAACAACTATGAAGCGATTGGCTCTGTTCTCGCGAGAAGTGAAATAACTGATGTCAGCTGCGAACAAGTCTCTCGTGAAACCAGGACTGAACCCAGATCGGTCTTCTTGTCCCGCTCCTAAGCGGTTGCATCAGCGCTCGTAACTCAGGACTGTAGCTCGACCAGCCGGATGATACATCCTTCACCAGTCTGAAGAATGAATTATGGGAGAGCGTTACTGTGGAAACAACGGTAACCTATTTTGTTAACCTAGCATGTTAAATACAGTTAGCAAACAAAACCAGGTAGTTAGTGAACCGACGACGTGTGTCCAGTTAGCTAGGTTTTCTGTGTGATGTGTCTTGTCTTGTCATTGTTTGTCCCCGGCTGAGGCAGCTTAATAAACGGCATGGTGCACACCCTGGCTGATGCAATGCTAGAACCAGATTTATAATCCTTAGCTACCGGGTTAGCTTTGACTTTAACGATTGTCATGTTTCCTCGATGAAGTAGTTAACTAGTTAACTAGTTGACCGGCTCGGTAATCTGCCGCAAATGAAAAGCGACTCTTTGCGAACACAAGTGAAGCAGACATAGCTAAACCTCATGATGATGCTCCAGGATGGCTCAACACAGCTGCTCTGCCTCACAGCCAGCAGCGGGGTCCCTCTTTTCACAAGAGGAGCCTCCAAACAGCTGCCCTTCTCTATCATCGGCTCCCTGAATGGTGTTCACATGTTCGGAGGTGGTCAGGGAGTAGTGTTGTCCTGCAGTGAGACTGAAGGCGGAGGGACGGTGGTGTGGAGAGTTTTCCAGAACAGTGTGATACTCATCGCTGTGAGTGGAGGTGGCGCGGGCAGCACCAAAGAGCAGGAGGTTCGCTTACAACGACTCTTGGAGAATGTGTGGAATTGCATGGTGCTGGTGTTGGGACAGGATGAACTGGCCAACACGAGAAATGTTGAGAGGCTGAAGAGAGACTTGCGCTCCTGCTTCGGCATCATTGATCAGTTGCTGGAGGACAGGCAGGAGGGAATCCTCGGTCACCTGACGCACTGCGTCGATTCACTGTTGCCTCCAAACCCCAGTAGTCTTCAGGAAGCCGTGAATGGCTTTGCCCAGGCTGCAGACAGTGAGTTTGGTTGCCTCATGGTCCATGGGCGATTAGCTGCAGCAACTGAGAAGTGGTGGCGCCTAGCACCACAGGAAGTTGTGTTGCTTTCTGCTTTAATGAGGTCCTTCTCAGGCTCCAGGTCAGTTTCTTGTGATTACCCGGTTTTCCTTCCTCAGGGGAGCCCCACAGTGGCCCACCGCCTGCTCCGCTTCCAGCTGCTCCCTGGGGCAGATGTGTATGTCCTGTGTGGTCCTACCCCTTCCCTGCACAGAGCCGAGAGTGAGCTGGTGGGTCGATTCTGGTCACCCCTTGTGGAGACCCTAAGAGACTGCCTGGCTGTTGGAGAGCAATGCTTACCAGGATCCGTATCCTTGCGCCCTGATGTACTGGCTCTTCTTCTCATCAACCGTGAAACACGCCGCTCAGTCTCCTGTGTGCACACCTCCACTAGTCATCCACTAGGTGACCCTCCTTTGCCCTCCAAGGCCCGCTGCTGGGAGCTGCTGAAGCTCTTCTACATCTTCAGCATGACACGCTACTTCACCCAGGAGGAGACGCTGTGTGTCTCCCCAGAGGAAAGTGCTGAGAGAGGCAACACTGAAGACTTTGTTCATGGATTCTCCCACCAGCCAGTACAGTGCTATCTAGTTACAGAAGAGTGTAAATGCTATGGACTTCAGCTGATCCCACTGTCGGTGCCCACATTTGTGCTGCGCACAGTGGCCACACAGACTCTCTCTGATCTAGTCACAGCGACTGGGTTTTAACTGAACACTTTACTGTTATGACATCTTAATTTTGGGTAGGCTAAACTTGCCATGTTGCTCATATTAATAGAAAAGTGAAAAGCTATTCACCTGTATGAATTTACTGCTGATATTTAGGTTTTTTTCTCCAAGCATATTCAGTTACATGTTGACACAAAATCAGTTCCTCTTTTATAAAGACAGTGATTAATAGGCCACTGGTAACAGCAGAAAAGGTTGTCACTGCTAATCTCACCTGGTATTTAAACTACTGATGGAAAAAACATGACAACTGTTGAAAATTCCACACCAACACACATTTCTTCTTTCTTTCTTTTGCATTTATAAATTCACCGTTTCACAACAGTGTGTAACTTGACTTACAAGGCTGTTTCTGTCACATCTGTGAATCTCAGTCCAAATTCCATTATCTTCCTGAATGCCTTATCACTAGGATTACACTGTATCTCAAATGTATTTAGAAGAATCGTGAAAGGTTACACTGGGATAAATAAGTGCTTGGACTTCATTGTTTGACATTTTGAATGTGCAAAGAAAAGTAAGTTATTTGTCTGCTTTACATTGAATATAATCGAATGCTTTCTATTGGTCTTTGCATCTTTGGAGAACATTATTACACTGCTGATGTGATAATTGTAAAGTTTGCCCTCTACTGGTCAAACCTTGAATTGCAAAACTTAACAACTAACTACAGATAAGATCTATAAACCATGTGGGGAAATTGAAGCAAAAAGCAATTAAACAATGAGTTTAATGGTTTTAATGTCAAAATTTAAATGTAAACTGCTTGTGAAAGCTAGTAACATTTCTATAATAGTCTAACAGTTTTCATATTGTAGCTACATTTTCTCAAAAGCCCTGAGACAGACAGTGGATGCTATGGATAAAGTCCTTCAAGAAAAAAGTCCAAAAGCATCTGATAATAGTCTACTGTTCTGTAACTTACAGTGAATGCACTGAGTTTGCCCATAGTGACACTGGGAATCAGTAGTTTTCCAGTCCATCATCAGATGCTTAAACACTTCCTGCTTGTTGTGTGTTCCTGTGAGTGAGGAGAGGCTCTCATAGACTGGTACTGTACATAGGCTGTATGTCTCCACAGGGCCACTCCAGTTTAACATGAGAAATGTGAAATTTGAACCAGCTCCAGCAGGCCTCATCTTATTCCTGCAAGTCTGACTCTTGTGGGTACAGGATACCATGTGTGAAAGGGGCTGGGTATTCAGAGGCCTACAAACAAAGCAACAGAAATGCTGTATTCTATAGCCCATGTCTTTAGAGATATTTCAGGAAGAAGTAAGGTTTGGGTTACTTAATCAGTTAAAGTTTGGGTTACTCAGTTCCTTTAAAGCCACTGTTTGTTGAACTTTTAAGTAAACTGTAACATTTTTAGATTATTCTGATGGTAATATTTTGTGGTTGGGTTATTTCAGGACAGGTAAGCCTACTCCAAAAGGAGGAGCATTCATCATTGTTTAATTCACAAAGTAGCCTTCACACTCTCCCCCAGGCCGCAGCACTCAGGAGAAAAAGTGAGGCACAGAGCAGTGAGCTCTGGACAGAGTTGGAAGCTGTAACCAGTTCACTGGTCCCCCTGAGCCAGGAGTGTGGTCCAAAGCTCGTTAGACTCGTAACCGGAGAACTGATCCGGGTGCTTGGTGTAAGGAAAGGAGGAGGGGGTGGGATGGAGATGAAGCCACACAAAGGGGAGGGTCGCCATGAGTGGAAGGAACATACCCAAAAGTTTCAGAGTGCAAAGCTTAGCCGGTGTATGTGGATGCATCCGGCATCCTTTTATCACGATTTTCTCGAATCCTCATTAATACTATCATCCCTGAAGGGTCCAAAGTTCTGAGCGCGGAGTCGTTTTTAGCAACGCGGTGGCTCCACTTGTACAATTGAACTTTTTTCGAGTGAAGCGCGGGCGTGGTGCAGGTCACTATCGCACCTCAGAGTTTTAAGTCTACCCAACCTGTTGAGAGAAGACCGAATGGTAGAGTATGTCGGCCTTACGAATGCAGATGATCTCACCCAGAACCGTTCGGTTTTTAAGCCGCGGGCGCAGCGAGTTCTTAGCTGGTAGCAATGGAGCGCAGCGGTCCGGTGGTGGCCCCAGTGTCCGCGCACTGACCTCTCCCCCCCTGTCTTACTCCATTACCCGCAGATCCTTATCTAGTCTGAGTGGGACGCGGCGTGGACTCCCCAAGGAGAAAATGTCCGAGAATGGAGTGGTGCCCCGGGCCAAGGTGCTGACCATCGACACCATGAACCCCACGGTGAAGAATGTGGAGTACGCAGTGCGGGGGCCCATCGTGGCTCGGGCCGTGGAGCTGGAGAGGGAGCTCTCAGAGGTTTGTACAACAGATTTTTTGTACCATCTGTCTCAATGACCATGCTTTGTACTTCTTTTCTCTTTGCAGACCAATTCTCATTTGTGCACGTGAAATGCACGTTTCTCTTATCAACACGTTGTAGGCTGTTGATCAGACTGAAACAAAACTGCACCTTTTTGTTGTCCAACACAAACCAGTCTGCCCAGCATATTCCATGAGCCATTTTCATAAAAGTAACAGTAACATGGACGTTTTTGAATTTCTTGGAACTTTATATTCCATTTAAATGTCCCCTTTATTTGAACAATCTCTATATTTGATTAAGGGGTCTCTGTATGCTTGTTAGTTGCTGATGAAAGCTTTTTTTGTTTTTATCTAAACATGGATCTAATCAGGGCCTTTCACTAGTTACAATTGTCACCTTAGTTACAGTTCTCATCAGTTTATGTCTTGCTGTGCTGCTACATGCTCTGTTATCAAAGTTCATCAGTAACTCCTGAGGAGGGTGGTCATGACAGATGCTAATGTGCCATTCCCACCAAATCTGACATCTGTTTGGCTGGTTCTCAGTGTTAATCTGTAACCCCTGTGCTTTCAGGAGATATCTAAACGAGAGGTTAAAGTCTGATCCACTCAGTGTGTTTTCACTGTCCCAACCGCTTTTATTTGTCATGTGTCAGTGTCAGATCTCCAGGGGGTGATGAGTGTCAGCCTCAGTTACTTTATAAAAGACTTTGCTATTCAAAATATTCAGCAGTCCAATTTGACATATCTGTCCTTCCTTTTTAGTTGTCATTTTAGCGCCTGTAGGAAAGCATGAAAATAATTGTGGTGGTATCAAAAGAAAAAAAAAAAAGCTGGAAAAACTATTTTATTTCTTGTCTCCAGGACAGGAAATTAGAACTTCTGAGCTAAAGTGACTTTGTTTTACATCAAAGATATTATAGGATCTTTATGTTATAGACACTGTAAATTCAGACTATTTGTGCACTGTCCCATCCGTTCCTCAGACACTGTTTATGGTGATGTGGCAACCAGCTGTTAGTGTACCAAGTGCAATCAGGTGTGAAAATAGTTATCTCTTGAATGCTCAGCTCAGGAAGGGATGAGCATGCGAACAGGTTCTTGCACAGTGGCGTTGGCCAGCAGGGACTCTAGGCTAAGGACAGTGGTGTCCTTTGTAAACAAATGGTTTACTGGCACCAGAGATTTCATGGTTTGTTTGTTCTGACCAATGCTTATCTGCAGCTGACCCCTTTATTTCCATTGGATATTTATTTTCTTCTCACTGCTACCTACAAGAGAGATCAGATTTTATCCACTCATATGTTTATGTTCAAAAAAGAAGAAGAAATTGCATTTGGGTTCAGCTGGTGAAACTGAGCCAAGATACTGAGGGGATGGAGCATTTTCAGGTCACCAGAAAGAGAATTACTGCTAATTGGCCTTTTATGCAACATACTTCTGTTTAGGAAGGTAGAGGCACTGCAATTTTTTTTGCTTATCACCAGTCTGTTCAGTAGCACAGCACGGAGCCTGAAGGCAAAACTGTACTGTAAGCAAGCTAAGCTGTTACTTAAGACTTGTAAATATTTTGTCAGAACACATTCCCATTCATTTTTTTAGCACAGCCTTACCCAAACAGTGGTATTGGATTACTCAGGCAAACAGGCCACAGTGGTGTTCTTGCTTTTCTTTGTGAATTAAACCCACACATGAAAGCGCACTGGGACCCCCTGCTCCAGTTTCCTACACACCTTGTGTTTTGGATCTGAGATTTTTTTCCCCTCTTCAGTTACAGTACAAGTATTGTTTTGTTCTTGTCCCCCCTCCACCACCCACCCCCTTACAGTGCCAGTGAACAAGTGCACAGATAAAGTCTTCGCATGCAGATATTACATTGTATTCTTTGTTTTGTCCTATTGAGCTGGAAACTGACAGCGAATGTGGACCCATCTGAGAGAACTGCTGTGGGTACAGATCACAGACCCACAACGCCAGTGTCTGTCGGTGTCTTTCCACATATTCAGCCAGAATGCAGCAGAGTATGATGAGACGTTATGATGAGATTGATCTGAGTATCGGGTGTATCTGCCAAGAAGTAAAACTATTTGAATGATGCAGAGTGAATGTTATCTGAACTTTATGACAAACTTTGTAATATATTACAATTAGCTGAAGTCATAATGTTATTTACAAGTTTTCACTAATGACTGATGACGTCAATAATGAAATGTAATGTTTGTGTTGGCAGTAAAAAGAAGTACTACCTGAATGCCAGATCAATAGTAATGTTTGACCTTGTATTTGAACTTCGGAATTCTTTGCCAAGCTGTTTTTCTCAGCAATGGACCGCAACAAAGCGCAATCGAGTCAATTCTCACGAGCAGAGGGTAGTTTGTTTCTAGAAAATCCTCATCCTGAATGGGAGCATCTTTTATTCTCGGGGTGAGATTCACACCATATAGTGTTACTGGTCCAGACTGAGGGACGCCTCTTATGTGCGACCAATGAGGGCCAGACACTCAAGTTTCCTAAAATCTGAACTAAACTAGACAAATCAAACAGGCTGTTTGATTTCTGCAGTGTGTTAATGTCAGGCTCCACATGTGGCTTCTCTGCAGTGTCACGCCGGATAACATCTGGTGCTAACAGCAGGTGTGTCCTCATGCTTGTTTGTGCATGTGTCTGCCTGCATTGCTGACCTTGGTCAGTGGACTCAGCAGTTTAAGAGATTATCTTTCAGAAACATTACATTATTGGCCCGGAGACCAAAAATGTTACTTAGATTATACATTCTCATAACATTTAGTTTACTGCTGCTTTGCTGTGGTACTTAAATTAAATTCACTGGTTTGGTAAACCGCTGAACCTGTTGTGTGTTCCGCCGCTGATGGGCTCTAAGCTAAATGTTAATGGAAAAGTTATACATGTGTTTGAGCCTATGAGAAGGCGCAGGGTCAAAGTTGATTAAGATGGGGATTCTTAGCCAACCTTTTTTTTTTTTTTTTTTTACAAATCAAGCCAGGGTATTTAAGAGGCAGTCACTGTCAGTAATATGGTTTCTTGCACAAAGTCAAAAAATGCTCTCACTGTTCACAATTTCTTCTGTTCTTCAGGTACATAATCATTTCTATACGCTGTGTTTATTTTCTGCAGGGAATGAAAAAACCCTTTGTTGAGGTCATCAAGGCAAATATTGGTGATGCACATGCCATGGGCCAGCAGCCAATCACTTTCTTCCGACAGGTCTGCTCCTAAGTCCTTCCCCCACCCTCTTATCTACCTGTAGCACTTCCCCTCTGACCTCTGAATATCTAGAAAACTGATTTTTTTTCTTCCTTAAATACATTGGTGTAAATCAGTGTCTCCTGTCTTTTGCTGTAGTCTGTGCAGGATGTTTCAGTGTGTCTTAATACTCATACCTCACTTTGTTTCAAGGTCTTGGCACTGTGTTCCTACCCTGAACTGCTGAATGACAGTGCATTCCCAGAAGATGCTAAAAGTAGAGCGTACTACATTCTGCAGTCCTGCGGAGGGAACAGTATGGGTGTGTATGATTGTGCTGGTTTTGTATAACCATAGGTTTTAAATGTTACCTTTAGTCTCTTTATATGCTCCTTGTAGGTTAAATTAATCTTTCTGGCAGTGTGTCATTGTAATAAAGCTTGAAGTTGTCATAGCAACTCCCATTATGTCCATATGACTCTCCCTCAGGTTCCTATAGTCCCAGTCAGGGCATAGACTCTGTGCGTGAGGATGTCGCCCACTACATTGAGCGAAGGGATGGCGGTGTGCCCTGTGATCCAGATAACATTTACCTTACAACAGGGGCCAGCGATGGCATTATGGTATATAACACTTCTCATTTTGACTTTGTGCTATACATCTATATTGGTTTTCTCCAGAAGAAATAAAGAATATGTTGTGGCACTCCAGTAATCATGAAGGAAGTTACATGATGCCTTCATTATTTTATGGTAAATTAGTTTACAACATTGAGTTGACAAAACAAGTTTTGAGGTGAAGTTGTCATCTCAGCACATATAATATAAGTGAGTTATCTGTTTAAAGGATGACACATACATGCAGCAAAACGTGTGATGTATGCTAGTTCATGGTAGTGCTGAATGTGTCTTTGTTCACCCCCCTGTCCTACACTCTCAGACCATGTTAAAGCTGCTGGTGTGTGGTGAAGGTGCAAACCGTACAGGCGTCATGATCTCTATACCTCAGTATCCACTGTACTCGGCTACACTGGCTGAACTTGGTGCAGTGCAGATAAACTATTACCTTAATGAGGATAAGTGCTGGAGTCTGGACATCAGCGAGCTGCAGCGCGCTCTAGATGAAGCCCGGCACTACTGTAACCCCAGAGCCCTATGTATCATCAACCCTGGAAACCCAACCGGTAAGCTTCCTTTATCTTTTTTTTTATTGTCAAAATAAACATCATTATGATGTGTTACTACAGTAATAGCCTTAAAAAAAGAGTGTTAGAAGTTGTTGTTTTCACATATTAAATAATCTGGTCCAGCACTCTAGGAAAACAAGTGGTCAGTTACAGGGGATAGACAAAAGAAAATTAAAACCTCATGAAAAAAGGAATTGATTTTTATGTAACGAAGAAGGTGGAGTATCAGACAGGAGTTAAAAATGTACTGGATTTATCTAGAGCTTTCACTAGATGCCACTAGATGGCAACAAAACAACAGAAGTGCCTGCATAATCACCATTTCAGACCATTTCTCCTTAATGAGCATCCCATTCTTTCACAGGTCAGGTTCAGAGCAGACAGTGTATTGAGGATGTAATCCAGTTTGCAGAAAAGGAACGTCTCTTCCTCCTGGCTGATGAGGTACTGGCTTTGCATTCCTTTAAACATCTATCTGCTTTAATGTCTACTTCACCCTGTCATGCCTGACCTGTCATTCTGTTCACATCTGACAGGTGTACCAGGACAATGTGTATGCTGATGGTTGCCAGTTCCATTCTTTTAAGAAGGTTTTGTATGAGATGGGGCCAGAATATTCAAATACAGTGGAACTGGCATCTTTCCACTCCACTTCAAAGTGTTACATGGGAGAGTAAGTCCACTTACTTTCATGCTGGGATAAAACCTTGACACGACCTTGTGACAATTATGCTGACAACTACTTTGCTTTAACTTGTTTGGTTGTGATTGTGATTCTGTCTTAAGATTTTTGCTGCCTGTATTGTTTTCACCCCCCTCTCAGGTGTGGCTTCCGTGGAGGCTACATGGAGATCATCAACATGGACGATGACGTGAAGGCCCAGCTGACTAAGCTGGTGTCAGTCCGTTTGTGTGCTCCTGTTCCTGGTCAGGCTCTAATGGACCTGGTGGTCAACCCTCCGCAGCCTGGGGAGCCCTCATACAACAGCTTCATCAAGGTTCTCAGTCCTATAACCCTCATTATTTGCTCTGGGTGTAGAGCAGTTAATCAATACACCAATACAGTGTATCCCAACATGATCTCTTGCTATGCATTATCAATACAGTGATGCAAGTATCATTATACACTCTCCTTGCAAGATGCTACAGGTTATGGATTTTACCAAGTAATTAGATTTTAGTTGTTTTAATTTTCTATTTAAAGTTTTCTCTTAAGCAACATCTGAAATTACTGTGATGATCAAGGTACATCCTTCTTTCCTAGAGGGATATAAATGGTGGAGTCCTTCTGCCCCATGACAGTTTATGGCTGCTTGACTTTAATGTCATGTGGTTGTGTTAAAATGGCAATTCATCTGTCTCATGGAGCTCACAGATGTCTGAGGAAAGTCAAGCAGAAGATTTTGTTAGACAAGGCCAGAGACACAACTACCTATTGTTTTACTTTCAACTAACAAAATAAGACTGGAGACAACAAAATGGTGCTGAAACATAACCGCTGAGATATGGCCATTTTTAAATGCATACCACTTTTTGAGGTTAAGACTTTCTTGAGAAAAGTCTGGACTGCTACATGAGATAAATGATTCTAGCACAGTCAGTCCCCGCTGTTGTTGCCAGTGTTGCCTGGTTCTAGTAACATCTCTCTTTGATTCATGTTCCGTTCTAACGTCTTTCTTCTATACTTTCTATTTTCTCTCCCACATGCAGGAGCGCACAGCTACCTTAAGTGCCTTAGCAGAGAAGGCCAAACTTACAGAGGAAATTCTCAATACAGTGCAAGGCATCCACTGCAATCCGGTGCAGGGAGCTATGTACTCCTTTCCTCGCATAACCATCCCTGAAAAGGCCATCAAAGAGGCCACGGTCAGTCCTTAACCTCCTTTTATAAATGTTTGAGTGGTTCAAGCTTGACTGTATTTGTGCTTCAAGGAAAGCTTATTGATGGAGCAGCAGAAAAGAGAGGAATGAAATAGATGATACAGTTATATAAGAATTTACTCAGCCCTCCAACAAATCCATTATCTATTATTGGTCCAGTTATTATTTCTTTTTATGGCGCTCAGCAAATTCATCTTTTCCACTACATACAGCCCCAGCAGCTGGCGTTGAATACGCTTGAACAAAACTATGGGAGCTATTGTACAGTGTTGGATTAAACAACTCTTCACTAGGGTTCAGTACACTGTGCATCCGCCACCTCGTTTGCTAAAGGGAACAAATGATTTCCAATAGCTTGTTGTTTCAATTACGTCCCAAGGTTGACTGCTTTGTAGGAATTTTAGGGCAAGCGAATGAACAAAGCCACTAAGTATCTGATTAGCCTTACAGAGGATAAGGTCAGAGCAAAGCTGACCTCCTGACACCTGATCAATCCCAGTGGCTCTGGACACAGTCTTGATCACACACTTGTGGTGTGGCTTTGTTTTAGACTGTTCACAAAACACCCAACAACACACCTTCTACTTAGGTACTGTTCAGGCTAAAAGGATTAACGTTTAATTTTAAAAGGGTTTACAAAAGCCCTATTAGGTATTCAAATTTATTTGACCTCAAATCAGTTCTTCTCTTTTTGTGTCATACGTATATTTCAACCTTCTTTGTGCTAGTCATAAAAATGTTTTGTCCTCACTCGCACTCTGAAGGACACAGTAGTTTTAGGATGAAGGCTATACTTTTATAAATATGTCATCACAGCAGAACAGCACGTATTAAACTCAGTAGCCACACTCCTGATCAAAAACTACTTGAAATACTCCCACAACACTAGAATATGAAGCTTCACATAAGACTGTAAAGTTTCTTGTCCTTTCTGTTAGGACAACGGTCAGCTACCGGATATGTTTTACTGCATGAAGATGCTGGAGGAGACTGGGATCTGCCTCGTACCTGGAAGTGGCTTTGGTCAGAAAGATGGAACCTATCATTTCAGGTACACAATACTTCTGAGGCTCCAACTAATGATTAGTTTGATCTTATAAAAACTAATATTCAGTTATTTAGTAGAATGTTTGTCATTTTTACTTAGAATATGACTTAAAGCATAAATTGATTATCAAAATAGCACATTTTTTGACAACTGACAAATTGATCTTCTTTGACGGAAGAGGCCTTAGCCATATCACCCATGCTTATTCCTTTGTGTAAAATGGAATTGCCAGTTTATTGAGCACAACAATAACAATAGTCTTGCAGTAAATCTTCCCTTAATGACAGTTGTTTGGTTATGGTACAACAAACTAAAACTAGTGCAGTTTATTACAATAGTCTTGCAGTAAATCCTCCCTTAATGACAGTTGTTTGGTTATGGTAAGTTTTGTCAGATGTAGTTTCTGGTGGTGTTGAATTTTATGGTATTACGCTGATAGGTGATTCTGTCTTTTCCACCCTATTCATGAACATGTTAACTTTCGATGAGATTGGTTTTTATTGCACAACTGCTGTATTAGACTATATTCATTTTAGCTCAGTGTACCTAATAAACTGCCAACTGAGAGAGAATGATCGATCTGTCACATTTTCTCTGTTATGGTCTCCCTAGTTACTGAATTACTTTTAAAAAAATATTTCATAGTCCATAGCAAGCTTTAGCTCTGAGCCAAGACATCTGCTGCTGTTACACCGTTCAGTTACAGTTAATATTTGTCTCTCTCTTCTTGCCCTCTGCCACCCAGAATGACCATCTTGCCACCGATAGATAAGCTGCGCATCCTGCTGAGCAAAGTCAAGGAGTTCCATCAAAAATTCACCTGGCAGTACTCCTAAGTTTCTCTGTTGTTTTCCTCATTTCAAAAAGGGAGGAGCTTGCCAACTACACCAACAGGAACACAGCCAATCGGAATTTATCTGTCACTAATAAGTGCCTTCTCTATGTTGGCTCTGGTGGTCTCTGTGATGATACACTTTAGCCTCTACAGCTATCTCATCTGGCCATTGGTGGACAGTTCACAAGGCACTGGTTTGCGTGACTTTATCTAATGTTTCTGTTTTAAAGGGCATATTAATTGTATTTGTGTATATGAGAGATAGATTGTCTATTGCCAAGCTAAAAAAGGTACAACTGAAGAAATGTCATGCTGCTGTGAACTGTGAAAACTGTGAATACACGTACAACTCGGTAAAATATTCCATTGCTGTGGGCTGCACTTGACACAGAGGATCTAGAGAAAAGTCTTACTTGCATGGTGATTCAGAAATGATTTGTAGAGTCAAAATAAATGTACAGTAACAGTTTGTGGGTTGTCTCATTATTTTGGAAAAATAAAACACAGTTAAGGGAATAAGGAAAAGGAAAATTAAAATCTTAATGATAAAATTGATAGAAGACAGCATCACATAAAAGCATGTCTAAAAAAACACCCTTTTAAAAATGTAGTTAAAAGTATAATCCACCAGCACCGAGACATTAATACAACTAAGTGATAATTTTCCTTTGACCATGAACATTAATGGAAACACCGGCATAGCACAGTGGTCCTTCCTTACGCCACATTTCTGGATGTTGTCACAGTCATTTAACATGCCATCAAATGTTTGTACCTTGATGCGGTAACATTAAGCATTAATAGTTTGTCATATACCATTTAGGACACTTTCTAAAACATATATTTTAACCTTAATTAGGCCCAGTTTTTACATAGAGTGGTCATTTCACATTATTATAGTCAATACAGGGTTTAAAACCAAAGGAGTGTTTGAATAAAAGAATATCACTAATATATTAAAAAAGATGATTAAAATAAAGTAACACTGTAAAATGTTAGAAAAATAAAATTTTTCCTGTAACAGTTGAAAGGCTTTAGCAGTTAAATACACTTACTCAGTTCAGTGACATGCAGAGATTTTGTACTAGTCTTGCTACATCTGGTTAAACCAGTAGCTTATGTATATTTTAGCATTGACATTGCTTTGTAACGTCAGTGAGTCACTTCATTGACTTTATGACTGGTCTTGTGCTATTGTTACACTACGTGTTAGCACGTCTCAAAATGTAAGTGATTTTAGTTCCTACTGAGAAATAATGATGTTTAAGGCGACTGACTTAAAGCTGTATTATTTAAATTTTACATTTCTGTCCACCAGGGGGAAACAGCACGTGCTCAACACTACTATTAACATACTGTATGATCACCTTATAAAATTGTGATGAACATGTTAGCGGTTATACAGCCATCCAACAAAGAGCTTATTGTTGGATGATCATCTGTTGCTTTCATAGCTGCAAGGTACCTTTGTTACATAATATGATCTATTGTTAATATAAAAAATGCTGAGTAGTGTAGCTTTAAATTGAGGAGAATTGAATGTGTCAGTATCCTGTAACTGCCACCTGTAATTGGATCGTCTAATCAAGTTAATTCTCAGATCCATTAGTTTCATACAAATAAACATTTTTGAATATTATGTGTAGGATAATTTTGTGTAGCTATGTGTTAAGACAAATAAGGGACAGATCCTTGTTATGTTGCAATGAAATTGATAATTACCCAAGAAATGCAGACAACTTCCAGTTCAGTGATAATGAGTGAGGTTGCTCCTCAAACGCCACATATCTGTTGAGATGAGATGTGAGCTGTCTGCAAACTGCGGGAACTGTCACCTCTAATAATGATGTTGTTTGGCTTGATTTCAGACACAAGTGACTGGATGTGTAACTACCACAATTGCCTCTATTGTCTGTATTAATCTGTCATCTATTTTATTGCCTGGTATGCAGTTTCCAAGCAAGCTGGGATGATGGATGGTGCCACAGGTTAAATGTGTGTCCCTGTGTGTGTGTGTGTGTGTGTGTGTGTGTGAGGTACACGGACTGAAAGACTATGTAGAGAGTGTGTTAAAGTGAAGCTTGTACTTTGAAGGAGTTTTCTGCTCTCTTCCTTCCTACTCCGCAGTGGCTGTCAGCTTTAATTATCTTTGACAAAGGGTCTCCTGAATCCTAATTATACTGGGCTTTGTCTTTCCTGGAGCCCCTCACCACTCACTCCAGCAGCACGATGTGCTCACATGTTCCAGTCCTCTTCACCCTAAATTAATTGGGTGCGTTAGCATTTTTTCTCTCTTATCTTCTGACATCTTTTGGCAATCAAAGGTCATCATTATTTCGGGTGAGGATGTAGGGCGACAGAGAGGCAGTCATGCATCAGACGTCAGTGCTGTCATGTGGTGGCTGTCCTGTTTATGACAATGACCAGTCTTTATTCAGTGTGGATAGTCTTATATGAGAAGATTCATATGACTGACTGGTAGAGTTTACTGAGACTCTTGGGTGTTTGTGAGTTGACAGTTACCCCGTGTTCATTATGTGTGGACAGAGTCCTGTCCAAGTTTTAACTTTGTTTGGCATTTAACATGGAAATAAAAGGTGATTCCTCAGAAAATGTCAAAAGACACCATAAAGGTAATGTTAGGTATAAGTATATCTTCATTCTTAATTATTTCTTTTCACTCAAACAGTTTGAAAGGCATCTATCATAAATTTATGGTACGGGCTTTGCAGGCTTCAGTTTATACATTTAATTTATCATTGATGTCTCAGACCAACTTTGCATGCAAATGAGGAATGTAGTTTTCCCCTTGTTTCCTCATTATGCAATGACACAATGAAAAAAATTGACATTTTACAAATTTATAAGCTATGAACATATATGAACATGTGAGCAATAATTGTGTGCAATGTCCTCAAAGTTTTGACCAGACCAGCTGAGAAATACTTAATTTTCTTAATGACTGCATTTTTTATTTGTTTATTTTGTGAATGAATTAAAGGATTTATCTTGTCAGGAGCTGTTCTATAGTAAGATATGATCCGTTTGTGATTTCCTAAATTTGATGCTGAAAATAGAAGTGATGCATTGTGGGAAGTGTACATGAGTCAGAGGAACCATCAGTACCTCCAATCAACAGCTGCATTGTTTTCTTGGAGGTATGATGTGTAGTTTCTACTCAGGGTTGGGCTAAACTCTGTTGCTGCAATCACTATGTTTTTGTTTCACAATGATTTGCCTTTAGTTGTTGTTTAATTGCAAATCAGTGGAAAAGAGAGTGGAAATTTTTGCTTCCCCTCTCATATATTCGGTTGTGGTCGCTTCTGAATGTGAACCTGATTTGTGTCTATATAAGATTTAATCTCTTCTTATCACATCATTTCCATTTTGTTGCCTTGTATTTGAGACACTAACTCCAAACAACATGTATGACTGAATGGAAATGTAAGTCAGACAATTGGTAGCATTACCACAATGCTTAAGAAGGTGAAGAGAAACACCCAGCTACATTAAAACATTAGTTTAGCCTTTCAGGAAATACAGTGTGCATTTTTTGTTTTTCTTTTAGAATATTGATACCACTCTCATATCTGTCTGTTACATATAAGGCTACAGCCAAACACTGGTTAGCTTAGCATGAAGACTGGAAACAGAGGTCAGCAACTAGTTTTGCTTTAAAGCCTACCAATTAACATTTGAAAATTTATTAAACTCTTCCAAAGATTAGCAAACTCTTCCAAGGAGGTATTTAAGCCTGCTCCTGCCTCAATCCAATCTTTTGACAGGCTCATGAGTGGACTACAACACGGAAGTGGGTGACATGGTTGCAGGCTAGTATGTGACAGAGTTGGAAAATGTTGTTCTTAATCAATCAATTGCTGATTTTAATTCAAACATTAGTAGAGGTTTACCCTCAGCAGCAAATGGATTGATCCCAAGGAGGAAAATAATGCCATGGTGGACACAAGAATGCACTACAGTGATACAAGATCGAAATAAAGCATTTAAGGTTTTGAAAAGAACACTCAGTTATGAGAATTTAGTAAGCTATAAAAGAAAACAGGCAATTGTAAGGTACGTTGTAAAGAAAACTAAAAGAGAATATTGGAAGAACTATTGTGATACTTTAGGTAGAAACACACCTATAGAACAAGTATGGGGTATGATTAAAAAGAATGTCAGGCGACAGGAAAGTGGTTGAACATCCGGTAATGAAAGATGGCAAGATTGTGAAGGTAATTTGTTTTAAAAAAGGAATTCAGAAGTTCCAGTCAATCTTAAATTGTATGGGGAGAAACTGGACAGAGTAGATTGTTTTAGATATTTGGGGATATGGTTTGACAGGAAACTTACTTGGGCAATACATATAGGGAAAATAGTTGAAAGATGCAAGAAAGTGATAAACATTATTAGATGTCTGAGGGGTAGAGAGTGGGGAGCCAGTAGAACTGCCTTAAAAATGATTTATATTGACTTAATCAGATCAGTTTTCGATTATGGTAGCACAGTTTATGAATCAGCATGTAAGACCTTGTTGAACAGACTGATTTGATTTGATTTGATTTGATTTATTCTTTCAAGCATATAAGCACAGTTGATATGACAACACACACGATTGTACACATAATCCAATATCAATTTGCTTATACCTAGTACATGCTTGAATGGAGTAGGAAGAAGTCAGACTTATCCAGTCCTACCCCATGACATCATCTTACCATCATTGGTTTGCAAGCAGTA